CAACCAATGCAGGTTTTCTATCTAAACACCCTTTTAGAAACATAAAACATTTCAGATATACGTTTAGTGGAACTTTTGAAGGAGAAGATGATGAGATTTGGCTCTTTTATTAAATTTTTTTATCAAGAAAATTCTCTCTAGGGTCACTGAAGAAGTCCACGTAAATCAGTTCAATAGCTGTACAACGACTTAAAAAATGTAAACTCCAATCGCTTTTTGAACTGTGATGAATGTTATGTTATAAAAGTATAATCACGAAAGAAATTCAAATAAACAACATTCTAAATACCTGTAATATGCAATAATAAGGAACTGAAAAGAACTGAAACTCTCTATACTGCATAGGGACCAGCTGAGAAGGGCGTGTCTTTACTATAAAGCAGCTATGTCAACCTTAATGGCTATTAAGGGCCATTTGAAAAAAACATGCGAATGTTCCGAAATCCATCACATGGTTGGGAAAAACATAACCGCATGATTTTACTAGTCCCATACTTAAGCTTAGGGCATACATTTTTCTTAACCTCTTTTCCCACAAGCAGTCGCAAATATGAATTTCATTTAAGCAAATTATCACTTCATGTAATTGAAATATAGGACAGCTGTAGACTAATAGCTATTTGCAATGCATTTCAAACTAAATATAATAAAGAATAGGAGCTATACTTCCACTCCTCCCAAACGACCTACATGGCGTGTAGCGGGGCGGCTTTACGTTACCTACGTATATTAAAACTGGGACATTTCCGGCCGCACATCGCGCATAATTGCAGAACCGAGTACAGCAGCGAGTTTGACATGTCTGCTACACAGTATAAACTGTAAAGAAGAACGCTGGCATATGCTGTCGCCGCTTTGAGCAGGTGCTTAGGTGAAATGGGATCGTCGTCATAAGAAGTGAACTCCGTTCACAGTATCGGGCAAACCCTTTGTTGGTCCGCTTAGGCAACCGGGCATCAGGCGTAATCGGGGTAATTAGATTGGTTTAATGAGTTGCGCGGTCGACAAAGCCTTCGACTTTTTGAAAGTGAGATGTGGTCAATGGAAGGTTTTCAACGGACAGGCGCCAAAGAGGGAATTTTACTGTTTCTGACCGACTGTCACAGAGTGAATCAGCAAGAGACGTCTAAGGACAAGATAAAAGTAACTACATAGGGTACGATCTTCCTTAAATATTTAATAATTATTCAGCTGTTCAAGAAGTTTAAATTCAAGAAAGGTTGCTATGAGATGTGTCGCTTGTTTTTAAGACACATATTCACAATGAATTCTTCTAAGAATCGTTTTAATTTAATGCTCTCAGAAAACAAACACATGTACGTGTGTCATTATTTACTTGCCAACAATGTGAATTTTCCAAACATATTCCTTTCGACTTACCTCAACCCTTAAAAGCATGAGCTACTTTTAATGCGTTCTTGTGTTATTGTATGTTATCCATGATAAATTAGTCGTACATATCCTTACATTACTGAAACGTCACAAACGTTTTAACAAAAATACAGACGAAGTATTTATTTGTTCACTGACATTGCTACAGGACATAAGAATTAGCAGCAGGGTAGCTGGAGATCGTCAGCCATATTTTTCGTTCCTAAAATGAAAATCGCTAAAATTAGTTTAAATTATATAATTCTCTCAGAGGTTAAAGAAAGCTAAACATGTAATTTCAGTAATTTCAGTCATCCGAGAATTTCACACAACACGCATAATATCCATAGAAATTTATTGATTCCATCAAATCTTCAACGAAGCAGCCAATATCGAAAACAAAAGAACAAACAATTTACAGATAATATGGTCAAAGGGACCTAATTTAAACGCTATTTTAAAAGCATTACAATTGACAGCAAAAGAGGAGAATTCATGAATGGTCGAAGCGAACGCAAACAGTGCCCATTAGCTTGATTGGCAGTTGTTTTATTGCTTTGTAGATTCCATTTCAATTTGCTAGATGCATCCTTTTCAGTATTATGATAATCCTTCATAGCCAGTGCTAGCTTTGAAGAATTAATTCCAACATTTTACAAAAGTCAAGATCTAACACAGCTGACAACAGCGCCGCACGTCGTGGCCAAATGAATAGCACTCGTTTCGTAATCCGGAGATCCCGAGTTCGAATATCATCTCAGAGATCGGCTATCTTCAGTGATACTTTACTAAGTGTCTTCAGTGCCTCAAGGCAAATGCCACCACTGCATTTTAAATTCGGTAAGGTCGCTTATTTACAAACATGTTCCACATTATTGTTACTCACAACTTATCTTAATGGAATTAATTTAACATCGGCTACTGACAGCGTCTCCAAATGAAGAAACAGGTAAATCAACGGCGATAGACTGCCGTGTACACCTCATACTCTTACAAATCCTATCAGCAATGCCTGTACTATTGTTCCCATACTTGTTTTGTGTTCGGGAGGAAGAAGTTTTAAAATGTGAACAAAAAATTGGCTGTATTAATTTAGGTTTTCCATAAAACATTCAGAAAATTACTGACTATTTCCTCAATCAATTAACCACCGACTTCCATAATTTATTCCGCATAATTTATAAATATGTTGTTGTTTGTTGTGTCTTATTGTTTTTGTTGTGTCTTATTGTTTTTGTTGTGTCTTATGTTTTTGTTGTGTCTTATTGTTTGTTCTGTCTCATTGTTTTGTTGTGTATCATTGTTTTGTGTCTTATTGTAGGACCACTGCCACCGGGTAAAAACCCATTTGCAGTTAATAATAAATAATAATACATCCGATATGAAAGAACCTTACATGATGAAACAGCATACTTAAACCATTCATAAAACCAGCAATCTGTACGGATACTTTGTTGTGGTTTGGTCCTGTCCTGTTCGAATTCCAGCGAAAACAATAAACAATCTTAAAACAGACCAATACAGCTTCGTCCAACGTCATTCCTAACGCAAAGTTCATAATAACGTTATTCTGCGTAATAGATAAAGCGTCATAAAATAAGTAAACAGAACATTGATACTAGTTTACTAATATTTTACCTCACTGCATCAACAGTATAGGTCAGCAACTGCAAGGGAGACAATCTTACTTTAATGAAAAGAAGTCATAGCCAAAATGCAACGCCGTGGTTGGCAAGTACGCCAAGAAGTCTAGGAATGTTTTGTCAATGAACTGATCCGTATGAATTCCAGTGCCTGTTCTTTCTAGAATATCAATAAATGCCACGTTCTGCTGCTGGCGATAGAGCATTGTAACTCCATTAGCGGCAACTGTATTATTTCTAATTCCTACGGAACAAAATTTCCTTCTAGGTACTTTGGCGATTAATATTTAGATTCCTGCGCCATGAAATTTTCTTTTCGACTTCTACTAAGAAATGGATTGTCATACATAATTATGAGGTTTAGCAAAATACGGTAAGCAGCCTTGCAGAAAGTCTGTAATTATTAGGTTTAACGCAGAGGTACAGCAGTGAAATAAATGCCAAGTTTATGACTTAATGGTAGACTATAAGTGTACTTATTCAATTCATGTCTCGGCAGAGTAAGTCCACGTTTCCTCGCAGAGGGAAGTGTCCTCTTTTCAGTAAATTACAGACCTACGAATTTGAACAGACTATTGTTTATAGAAGCTCCGATAGTATGAACACCGTAGTACAGATAAGAATAGAATTTTTATTAGCGTGGAAAGAGTAGCATACTCGCTTCAGTGAACGCTCTTAAGTAGACCATCTGTTCAGCTTAAATGAAAATAAATCATTTTGAACAATATATCCTGCCTATGTGATCACTTAAACTGGCTTTCGGAAGATATACTCCACCAAATTTGGACGCCTCAGTATGATTAATGATTCACGTCAACATTCCTGCATAGCGAACGCTGTTGAAGAAAGGGCTTTGGAGCCAAGTTTCGGAAATAAAGGGTTGAATTTAAAAGCTCTCTCACATCATATACAACATCTGATAACTTATGAATTACACGGGTTAAATAAATTTCACAGGAAAGTGTTCTACTTAATTTTTATCACATACATTTTGAAGCGATTGATCCATCAATTTGTCCTATACAGTTTAGATTTCTATTTTATTTCGGTGTTGTGAAGATTTAACCAAATGTTCTTGCTGATTATATATTGACCAAAATATTCTGATCGACGATTCTCCAATTTATCGAATTCACCTTGTAATATGTCTTCCGGCTGTCTTTCCTGACAAATGTTTTGTCTGAGATCGTTGATGGTGCAAGACTTGTTCGCGTACGTCCTTCAGAAGGCACTACGGGAAAAAATCTAGCGCCATTAAATACGGGGTCCCTGTCTTTTGAGATAGCCCGATCTCAAAAAGAAAATTTGGACATCGCGTCCAGTTGCGCGAGTATTTCGAGGGCGACCACTTTCATTCAGCAGCTTATATGACGTTTCGGGACCAAAAACATTTAACCAACATAAGCGAACACACAGTGACAGTTTGGGGTATCTATCGGCAGGATCACTCTAAATTTGCATCCCACAAAAGCTCCCTCCTAATTCATACTACAATAAAATATTAACCTAGCATGTACAAGTCGCCTATAACTGTTCAAACACAATTTTGCAATTTCTTATTCCCTATTATCTTCTAGCTCAGTGAATCATAAATACTATGGGGTTCTTTTTAATAAAAATGGCTCGCATTTCCCATGATATATACAAAGTTCCATCAAAGTTACAAGTTTTTCGGAGCAATATCTTACATAAATATCGCGCTGTGACCAGTAATTGTGGTATTATAAGGGAACGTATACAAAAACAAACAATATTATAATTTCTAAACCGTGTAGCTGCAGTTGACTGTCAAAAGTTAATCAACTACCTCTTAAGACACCTATCTTATCAACATATAACTTGTACCGACAGCGGTGATTCGATCTGTAGAAGATCACTATCAATGTGCTTCGTAAGTGGATAACAATATTGTCACGACCTTAAATATCTAACTAAAACAAACTTACAAGAAATTGTTTATTCCCTGAGACAGGTAATTTCACTCACCGAGAACAAGTAAGCTGCCCAGTACTGCCAACCAAAGCTGAAATGACGTCATCGATACGCCGTCCCTGAAACACAATTCTTTTATTAAAATTGAGCATTTGTATTCAGTAACAGGCAGTTTCCCGAAGTCCCAAAGTATAATCATAGCACAATCTGCATTCTTTCACACACACACACACACAGTAGGTATGATCAACATTCTCAGTTATTAGTCAATTTCCACAGGTACTCCACATTCTGCCCGTCTGGTTTACACAAACGGAAAATGGGTTTAGGTTAATTACTGTCGAGCGCGAGAAAGAAAACAATTTTAGATTTCATACAGAGCAAAGTGAAGATTAAATAATTATCATAACGTACACCTGTAACAGTGGTTAAGTATTTTGATGGGCTGTTGTACGTAATAATGTCAGTAAACCAATGTCAATAAAAAAATCTGGCAGTGGTGGTTATCTGTTATAAAGACACAGTAACATATCACCGAACTCCATAGAACAGAATATTTATAATCGCTGAAATATTCACTTCTTCGCATTTTGGCTTGAGAGATAAATAAGCTCTCTTTAACACTGAAACATCCACCCACGAAAGTCATGGCCAAATCAGAATAACAGTGAAAAAATAATAAGTTGAAATATACTTCGCCATCGTAAGCCAGAGCCCTTTTCTATAACAACTTGAAATTCAGAATTCCAGGAACCTGCAATACTGAGTGCGACAGCTGGGTACGTTAGAGCATTGTCTGCATAGAACAGACACGGAGTTATCGGCCGGCGATGTGGAGTGTGGGCTGTTGCTTGTAATTCTACCGTCCGTCCACCCATCCATGTTCCCGACAGTCAATTCATCCATCATCCATTCATTCGAAAGCCAGTCCGCCTATTCATTATTCCGTAAATCATTCATTCCTTCGTCCATCCATCTCGATTCATTTACCTATTCAGCCCCTTTTTATTTGTCCTCGAGATTTTTAAGAAGGATAATTCCTCGGCTACCTTATCGTTAACCTCAACTTCACGTGATGTATCTGCTTGTCACAAACGAGGCTGCGATGAGCGAGTTGGGCGTATAACAATTACATCTACCGCGGAGATTTCACACCATATTATATTGTCCTATGTTTATAGTTTTTAAATTTGAACTGTGGTCAGTGTGTTCACTATCGTGAATACCCACAACAGTCAGGTCGACTTGAAATTCATTAACTGACCGACCATCCACTCATCTGCTGATGTTTTCCTCGAATTCTGTTGCTTACTTAATGCAGATTAAATAAACACTACATCACATCCTAAAAATAATCTCAGTTTATATTGTGTATGCCCTTTCTTGTGAAACATAGTTCGCAAAATCATTTAATTTAGAAACAGTCATTAATATAGTATCAGTGAATGGAACACGACGTACTGTAATACAATTATGGAAGCTGCGTAGCAAGGTTGCTATGACACGAAGTTTTGTTCTGACTTGGTAATCCATTTTGTTGCTAAGCACCGGCCATATTAACGTCGTCGTCATATACTAACAGCTCTAATTATGGCGGTCGTCTCTGCACCCAAACTCGGTAATATGCGTAATGCACGTACCTTCCGCCCCAAAAGCAGCAAACCAGAAACAGGTGGCAGTTCGGTGCCTCGTTCCTTCTTCTCATTCAGGCCTAATAGAACGAGAAGTCATATCAGATTGAAGGGACAGTTCTCACTGATGTACCTGAACAAGGTTTCATTCTGTACAGATGTATGCCAAAAGTCTATTGGAAGCTGATACCATAAGCCTAACATTCAGTATAAAACAAAACAAAAAATTACGTTAAAATAAACTTTAACTCGTACAGATGGTTTTAAATCAGTAACTGAGAAAACCTGTAAAAGAAGACTGTTTTGTCATTCGTGAGGAAATATAAATTTAGAAATTGATCAATGGAAGAGCCGGCGTACAAGCTGGCTGCTGCAGCCCAGTCATTGCGGTACGCTGGCTCCATGATTCATCGCATGGAAAGCTTTCTCGCAGGAGCCAGGCCACTACGGACTGTCACGTCACTCATGTGTCACTTCCGGTCTACAGCGTCACACAGCATGGGAAGGATGTGTTCACCGGCGTGTGAGTTTACGCGACGTACGGGTTTTAGTTTGCAGCGATTTAAAATTGTTCTCCACGAGATCAAAATATGGGCGAACCAAGTGGCGAAAATGAAATTTATTCGAGGAGGGATTCAGCACACGCCCAGAGACCATCAAGGTAGTATGGATATTTTACGTGACAAAATACAATGAATTTAAACAAGTGCTTTAAGAAAACTGAACACAACATTCACAAAGAACGGGCAACTAACTAAACATTTCCTTCAATAATTCTGGCATTTCCCTTCCGTTTAACATAAAAGCGAACCCACAGGATCCAAACCATCAAGCTAAAGACGAAACGTGTCTCCTATTACGCACAAAGAGTTTTAAAAAAGTACACAGATCAAGTAAACAATTCGCGTGGAAGTTATGCACTGATATTACCTTTAGAATACCACTACGAATAGAAATGGAAGCCAATGCAAATAAGTTTGCCATACTTTCTAAGACCACTTCTGGGTGTCGATGAACGTCTACCGGACGAAAGCAGCTATCACTCTGACATGTATCAGCTGTAATTATATAGATATCCAGATAGGGAGTTAGGTCCATATTTGGCAAAATAGTAAAAGGACAAATTTATTTTAGAGGGCAACAAGTCAGTGTGAAATATTCGGTAAGGTCTGTCAGCTGTGTCAAGTTATTCAAAAGGATTAATCAATTTATACCAGATATTTCCATAACATTTTACAAAAATATGTTTACTTTCGTGGTTCTTTTCCCGTGTTCTGGTAAGTGACTGCCATCATTTGTCAGGACAATCACAGCTATTCATCGAAGGCAAAACGTTGTGAATAGTAAAAATACTTAAGGCAATGGACAATGTGCAATATGACAAAGGTGTAATTGAATCGATGGCTGTCAGAAACCTTTCAAGAATCAGAAATGACTAGGAACGTAGCAATTCCCTTACAAATGGCAGACTTTTTATTAAGTGCCTCATATTTTTAATTTAAAGTTCAGTGGCAACCGTGTGTACAATATTATTCAACAATATTTAACTCTGAATTTTTCCCGCTTTCTGCATACAGGACTTGCATGACTCCCAGAAAATACAGCTCGATTAAGTAAAAATTAAACAATTTATATTTGTAATGAAAAATGTTTGCTCTGCGAGAGAAACCAAATCTTCAAATATTTAGATGCGTCCCGGCTTTAACGTTGTAATGAATCTCTCAACTGTCTGTTGAGAAACTGACACCCCGAGAGAACTACTGAAGCTAACGGAAGAGGAATCTTAAATCTGGGGTACATTACCAAACAAAATGCCAATCAATAGAAGTGATCATGTTTCTATCTGTTTTCTCCAGCATCCAATAACCAATTAGTTTTTGATTCAATAATCATCTTTGTATATGGTACATGTCTGATATTTCTTCCACAAAAGAATATGGAAAACTAAATCAGTTAGTCTATATATAGTTGGGTCTACAAGTGTAACAGACACTCTGAAGATAAATTATACTGGAACCAGAACTTTTCTGATTCACTATTTCTTAAATTACAATTACTATGTGACGGAAATATTTTACGTTTCGGCTTAGAGGCTCGCTGCTTCTAACAGTTACAAGAAAGAAGGAAGAGAAAATTTATTTTCGTAAAGTCTGTCCTCTTGTCGTTATATGGGGGAATTAATCCACATCCTCAACTGCCTGCAAGCCATATCCCTCTCTACTTTTCTTGTCTTTCATAAGAGTCTAGGGTAGCCTGAATGTTACTGTAAAATTACCTCATGTCGTAAGATGCTATACTCCTTATTATGTGACAAACGTTTTGGTATTTCATATTACGTTAATATTTATCCGAACGAAGTTTGCGTAAAGGCTGTTACAGCAATCTTGCATTCACATTATCTAACATTCCTTGCTGCTCTGATCTGGAAGCACAGAATAATATATATTATCTATTTTCTTCTCCCATTTGGACTTCAGCAACTATTATTGGCGATGTGACATGTCTAATGACATTTCCAGCTGACAAACCACCCCGCGGCGATCGCGTAGGAGACATTTCGATGTGGCTGTATCCAGAGGCCTCCAGCGACGCAGTATTAAGAGTTTTATCTAAATACAGAAACTTTCACGAGGCAAGTAATTACTAACCCTACAGCAAAACAGTGCTGTTAGCGACAGTTTCGAAAACTAGAATGTCGTTCTTTACCCAGAAATGAGGCATATAATTTTTTCTCATTTTATTCAACTGCTCTCTTAAACTCTGTTTTCGGAACAGATGAATAACAGCATGATTACATTTCCAAAACACGTAGCCAGATAGAAAGTCTTTATATTGTGTTAATTAAGCAAAGCAGTGAAGTACAAAAGTACTGTCAATCATACACCGATTCTGTATCACGAGCCGGGCGGGCACTACGCCTCAGTTCGTATCGTGTGCCAAAAGCTTAAATTTTGCTTCCTGTATATTTTAATGTTTGAGACAATTATTGGTACTAAGTACAACGTAGAAAAAAAGACTGACAGATGAAATAGATCACAGGGCCTGATGATGGAGGCAGCAAAGACCCCTGAAACGCCGGCAAAATTCTACCAGACTACACGGTGCAAAACCCAGAAGACAGCCATCATCAGACTCACCGCCGTGAAAACCTCAAATCCTACACAGATGAAATAGAGATAAAAATATAAAGTGAAAGAGGGAATGTGAAGGAATTTCTAAAATAAAATATATAAAAAATAACTAGCATATTGCTGAATAACAGACAAAAATGAAAGACACCAAAATAGGAACCTGTTTATGCAGATTTAACGTATCACTTATAAGCTCTATAAAACGTTGGTTTCTCTATCTTCTAAAGCAGTGGTTTTCAAACGTTTTTGTTCGCGTATCCCCCAGATATAATTTCTCTTCAACTTTGTACCCCAAAAGTTGTTGGCGTATAATTCAAGTTATACATAGTATATAATATACATTTAAAATAAATTAAT